CCCTCCTCCCCATCGGCAGGCAGGTGTTCAGCCATCTGCAGGAACGCAGGGCTCCATCACGCCTAACAGTGACTTGGGAAGACAAACGCCATCACTCCGAACATCTCCCCCTCCTTCTTCTTCCCCCAGCTGTATGTGCTGAGCATGGCGTCATATGGTGTGGGATATCCCTGGGGTCAGTTGGGGTCAGCTGTCCCAGCCGTGTCCCCTCCCAGCTTCTTGTGCCCCCCCAGCCTGCTTGCTGCTGGGGTGGGGTGAGGAACAGAAAAGCCTTGACTCTGTGCAAGCCCTGCTCAGCAGCAACTAAACCATCCCTGTGTTTTTCCATCATACTTGCAGGCATTTCTGTTAAATGCAAAGCTATCCCAAAAACTGCAATTTTTTTTTTTTTTTTTTATCAAGGTGTAAAATCAGGCCACACTGGTCTGAAGCTATGAGGCATCACAGGCTAAAAAAATATAAAGAGAAGTTAGCAAAGAATTCTCCTGTAAGCAACTGGAGCTGCATGTGTCTTTGTGCTCTTGCTTAGGAGCGGAAGCGGCAGCAGCTGCAGAGCAGCACAGGCTACAAGACGGATAAGGTCTTGCCACCTGCACAATTGACTGAGCTGTGCAATTCAATAATCCCAGCCTGCAAGTGAAGCGCTACTGCAGAAGGCTGAGAACAGTCAGCTAGCATAGCAGTTGTCCTCCCAAGAAATCAGAGATACCTGTAAATAGTTATGGCTATACCCTAGGAAAGGAATAATTGGTTATGGAATATCATCTCCTTTATTTGTCAGCTTTTTCTTTTCCCCCTAGAATAAAGTTCTATTTATTAAGCATTTGATACCCTGTTTTTCAAGTGAGGAAGATAAGCCCCTTTTTGCTGTGTTCTCCCAGATTTCTGGGGAGAAGTTTAGGACAGATGTTTATTACCAACTCCTTAAAGTTTGAATGTGGATCACCTCTTACTGTTGCAAGTCAAGCCTTGATAAAAGTCAGAGATAAACAAGCTTTTGATAAGCTAGTCAAGAGAAATGCCATGTTTGGATAAATATCCCTATTCCTGCCAGCAATGTGTTTATAGGAATAGTTTCATTAAAACAACACACAAGACTTAGAAGCAATGAATATAAAAGCAAAATAAGTATTTAAAAAGATATCAAACTGGATGAGAAATGATAAAAATACATTATACTGACTCAAGTACAACCAATATTTAATTAACTGCTCTGACTGTACCTGGAGTCTTGCCCATGCTGTACTTTAATAATAGAGCCCAATCTTTCTTCTACAAAGAAACCAAGGACAAAACTCTCTACAGTGGGAACAGAATCTTACTTTTGCTTCTGCAGCCAATTTTGCAGGAATTTGTACATTTTCTACTGTTTATTCATAGTGTTTCTATTTCATACATAAAAAATACATAAGCCGCTGTCAAAATGATCGGTGTCAATGAACAGCACAGAACAAAAGGAGAAAAAAGAACAAACAATCTGCAAACAATAGACGACTAAGGGAATTATGTTATAAATTACCTAATCTGATGCCTTTCTTCAATATGACTGCCCATTTGAAAAATTAAACAGTATTGTAAGCAATGAATGAGGGTGTGATTTGGAACACAGCAATGATGCAAATATTTTTAACTGACAAGATGTATTTCAAGTGTCTTTGATTATTTACACAACATTTATTTCACCACTTTTTTTCAACCTTCCAGAAGAAATTCCGAATTATTATAACGAAACATAAAAACATAAACAAAAGAAATGCCCTACTGCATGAGAGCAGTGGTTCATCCAGCCCAGTATTCATCTCTCTCAGTGGCAAAAGACAATTGTGGTTAGGAGAAACATGTGGCCTGCCTCCTTCCTGTAAACCATTCCCCTTGGACTTTTCCACTACTCAGAATCATTGTACTAGGGATTTAAGAGAGTACTTATCTGCTTACTCCTTCTAGCCATTTCTGACCCTGCTGATACTGTCTGCCTCCACATCATTCTGTGGCAAGAAGTTCCAGAAGTTCACTACCCATTGCACGAGGACTATTTTTATCCATTTTAAACTGATTCACGCTAGTTTTGAGTGCCCGCGGTTCTTATATTGTAAGATTCTCCATTTAGCTTATCTGCTACCAGAGAACTGTTAAATGTCCCTTGAACTACCTATAAAAGAAAGCCACCGCTTCAGCTCTATGCATTTTAAAATGTGATTTCTTAGACACCAGACATGCTAAACATTGGAGTTTAACAAGGATTAATGAAAAGAGGTAAGGGTTAAGGATGGTTACCCATCATATTTCCCAATGTTTCCTCACAAAAATAAGTCAAAGAAAAACTTCAAAGTCAAACATATGAACCCAAGTCAATTATACAGCTAGCACCTTTTTCTATGAGAAGCTGATCCAACCCTTCGCACCAATCAGGATTTGGAAAATTTCTCATCTGAATCTGACCTTGTCATTTTGGACTCACATGGAATTTTTGTATTTTCTTATTCAGAGTGAATTTTGTAATCAAACTTCAGCCACTCCCTGGCAAGCAATTACTGCCTTTTAAGAACGTCTTAAACTATCCTGAATAAAAGATTTTTGAATACAATGAGACAACATCTTCTCCTTTCTGCTTAGCAGAGGATATCAGCATATCCTGTGAAAGGTATGAATCTTAGTATGCACTGAATTATTTTAATAAATACAAAAAAAACTACCAGCAATTCTCTAAAGAAGTCTATGAAGGCTACTACAGCCAAAGAACACACAAAACTGCTCAGATTGAGAATGCAAAGGCAGCTTTATGTCGCTTCATGCCATGTCTAGATTACACCAGTATTAAGCCAGTCAGTCCCGTTCTATGTACCAGTCTGAAATGAGGTAAAGCTGATAGAAGTCTGCTCTAAATTTTCTGGAGCTGGAAGAGTAGCAGGTGCTCACATAGAAGCTATGGACTGCCAGCTTGCAAGTGCACCTTGAGCTACATCGCTTTTCCAAATCCGAGTCACCTCCTTCTTTCCCTTTCACTAGTTCTCTGCTAAGTAAGGATCTGTAAAAACAGGGATATGGATATAGCCATCATTTGACCCCAAGTATTTCAGCATATTTTCAGTTCAACTGTTTTTACAGTAAACAGAAAACCAAGATTGCATAATACCTGCATACATAAACTGGACCTTCTTAATGCCAGGCTCAGCAGCACACTGTTAGAAGCAAAGTATTTTTCTTAGTAAAACACTATTGTGCAACACCTGCTTAAAGAGTCACATAGTCCCTTTGATGGGTAGTCCAGAGTATTATGAGGCGTACTTTCCTCAAAATCTGCTCAATCACTATATAATCATTTACTTACCCTTTGCAAATGTTAATCCAGGGTCAAGGCAATGGCCCTGTGACACAATACTTAAATTTGTCTAAAACCATGCCCTTCCAGCATTCATTTATAACTTTGGTGGGCTACTCTGATTTAAAAGCAGCCTACTGGCTTTATCAGAGCATGAAGGCAGAAGTGACCTAACACCACAAACAAAATGCCGCTTCTAGCTTCAGCTTTTTTTTTCTCTAACATTACTGCAGTGCTTTAATGACCAAAACAAAACAAGCATTACACCTGCAGACTGTAATACCATTGAAACGGATGCAGGAGTGGCCTTGGATTTGGTCAACAGACATCATAGAGATGGTTATGTTTTTGGTTTATTCCATGTTGCTGACGCACAAGAACTACATATAGTAAGTATCAGTTTAAAGTCTGATTTACACAAGGCTGATTTTAAAATAATGAGCCAGATCGTTAAAAGTTTATGTTTATTACTTTTAACAGAACCATGTTGATGTAATTAAATGAACCAGCTCTGATTTACACTATCTCAGTATCCATTTGTGCATGATTTATTGTACCTAAGTTTGGTTTCAAACGATGCTGAACACCCTCTATTCTCTTGGCCATCAGGGTGCTGGTGTACGAGATGCTCTGAACAGCTTTATACAACACTAGAAATTAATCTCTCCTGTCTGTCAGGTCTCAGATGCTATATTCAAAATTTATATTCAGAGGGTTTCTTATTCTACAAATGTCTAACATTAATTAGATCTATGTATCCTGCAAGATTGGTACTTTGTTATTATCTTAATTTTGGAGATAGCTGGATAACTTGAGGGAAAAGAAAAAGGCAGAAGAAGCCAAAGGAGATGAAAATGCCACTTGGCAAAACAGAGGAAGGGCTAGATAGAGAATCCATATCCGTCATTTCCTCTTTCTGTTTCTGTTTCCTAGAGAGGACACGTAAGCCCTTCTCAATGATTGCCTAAATGCCAAAGCAAACCAATAGCAGAAAAAGCAATAGAATACAAAATTTCTCTAACTAGTGGATAAAATAGACCAAGGACATGCAGATTTACTAATATGCCTGGCTACCTTTTAGCTGCTTAGCTATGAAACTAGAATCCAGGCACACATGCACTGCATAAGAAGTGTATTGCACGTCTCAGTATGGCAACAGAAAAAACACGCTAGTTTTTGATGGAGCTGCTGAAGACTGCCTGTTAGGACAAGAGCGAGCTCAGAAAGTGACCCAAAGCCCAGATTCCTGCAGGTGTTTGGGTATACTTTCAAAAAAACCTGATGGATTATTTTGCTTTTCAAAGACAAGAATGTGGCAAGTGGTACTATTGGGTTTTATGCAATAGCCAGGTAGTTAAAGCGCTCATCTAGGAAGCAATCAGTCTTCTTCAGCATTAAGAGATTTAAACCCACAAGTCTCCCATCCTTGAAGAATGCTGCTGCCATGCAGCCAAGTGTGTGCCACCCCTGTGAAGTGGAACCACCAGGCAGTAAGACATGCAAAATTCATTGGATGAATGAGAAAAACCATAGTTGTTTCTAAAAAGAAAAATCAGTGTTTCTACTTTTTAACCAATTATTGACTACATAAACTATAGAACCATAACTTGGAATAGGGACCAGAGCTGAGGATTCACACTTCCAGATGAATGCTATAACCACTTATGTTACCATGTTTATGCTTTGCTTTGTACCCCTAATGAATTTTGCTGTCTTTGCAGTCCAGGGCCACGGCTTCTGCTATCACACAGAGTCTACAAGAACAGAAAAGACCTTTCTATCTATCTTACTGCTAAAGAATTCTACCTATAAGGTCTCTGTACCTTCTGAGACCCAAAGCCTCCAGGTGTGGTCTCCTGCATACTGATCACATACACTATTGTGCAAGAAGTTACACTGGCTCCACTACCAAGATGACATTAAAAAAAACATACAAGAAAAGACCAGAACACTATTTTGCTTATCTCCATGCAATACTGTGCATCAAGTCTATCACATCAACCCCCTTAGAAACTTAAGCAGAGCAATTCCTAGCAGCCAGATCTCTACTGGGTGTACACAGGAGTCCTAGAAGCGTAAGATACTCAAGTATTCACACTAGAACAGTTCTGGGCTTGTGCAGTGCAGAACTCTGGTGCCCAAGATGCTTTTAAAACAACCAAGAAGGCACCACATAAGATAATTTTTTTTTTTTTTCAAGAGCTATCTAACAGACGAACAGAAGAATTTTCTACTGAACAATTGGATGCAGACGCTTAATTGCACCAAGATCTGTTTTAGGCTTTACTGAATCCAAATGCAACCTGCTAAAGAAAATAAATATTTGTCAGGGATGAATTGGCTTCTGTAGCGTTTCACAAGTTTGGATAACAAAGTGAATGTATTTAGTCATTTCAGTTTTAGAGATCTCCTAGTGAATAGCACACTTCACAAAAGCCTGTCTTACCCATCTTACCTTTCCATTCAGTGTGATTCCATAAATACAAATCAGAGAAAACAAATAGTCCTTCTCACTGGCCTTGTTCTCATCTCTGTCTGCCCTTTACCAATATGTTGACTAGCAGCTTGAAATTATTGGGATTTATAAAATAAAGTTATTTTATAAAATAGAAACTAACTACCCTTAAGCAGAGAATGTGGCTAGCAGGCAGGATGGGTGTCCAGGACAACTATATTCTTTTCCTGATTCTGCCATTGAATAACATGTGTCTTCATGCAGATCACCTAGCCCCTATTTTAATGATAGGGATGATGCTAAGACATACGCATACTGCAAAACTAGTGTTTAACATGACACCGCTGGACTCTTAGTAATAAAAATATTACACTAGACTGCAGTAATTATTTCTCAAGGTCTCATCTATACAGAAACACTCTGAAAACAGAATCTAAATGGATGACATTTCATAAAACCTGAGGACACATTCACAGTGAAGGGCTTTGCATCATTTTATCTAAATGACAAAATAAAATATGTCTGTGTTCATTCCGAATGTCCATACGGGGGTTGCATGAAGTTTAAATAATCCATTCCAAATGTGAATTGAGATTAATTTTCCTGCAGAAAAATACAAAACTGTTTCTATAGGCCACAGATAATTCTTCACACCACATCCCATTATGCTGGCAGCCAAATTCAAAATCTGATTCTCCATCCTATTTGCTCAGAACATACTAGAAGAATTTCAGAGCTAAGGCTCTGGACTCTGTAGGGATTATTACAGCTTTGTTGCATCACTCCCTGAATAAATGGAGCAGGAAGCAAAGTTCTGAAAGAGTATCTGGTCACTAAGGTCATTTGAAATGGACGTAGCTATGTAATCGGCTGCCTAGACAACAGATTTCCTAATAGACCAATATGTTCTATGCGAAAATCAGAAAGAGGGAATGGCAACTTTTTAACATTGGCATTTTCCTTACTTGATGGATGCCAGGTTAAAAACATACTCTCCTCACAGGACAAGAGGCAACAGTTGTAAGTTGCAGGAAGGGAAATTCTGACCAGATGTAAGGCCAAAAAAACAACCACCAAACAAAATCATGGAGAAACTGGTTAAGTACTGGAATGGCCCAGAGAGGTTGCAGAATATCTGTCATGGTGACACACAGACCTCAGCTGAATTTAACTCTGAAGTTAGCTTTGCCTTGAGCAAGTGGCTGGACAAGATGACCTCCAAAGGTCCCTTCCAGCCTAAACCCTTTCTACACTTGTCAGCTCAGAAAAACCTTACTAGGGAACTAGGGAAGATACATTAAAGATTAAACGTATCTACTTCAAAAAAAGTTTCCTTCAGACCAGACTTATGTACAAACTCTTTTTTTACCTGCACTTCTCTTCCAGGGAAATTCATCAGTCCTCTACCTAACTTTGGATGTGCTGGAAACTGAATATTGTATAGCATCCAGAAGACACTGGGAGTCTTGCTAGTACAGCGACACCTATTCCATGGCAAGTAACGGTACCCAGGCAGATTCATAAGTCAATAATGCATGAATTTGATCTTCATCTGAACTGCCCAGAAATTTCTGCATCACAAAATCTCAAAGTGAAGACTAGGCTTTAATATGGCTCACTATAAAATAAAATAAAATCTATTGAAATCTAGAGTGGTTAAACATAAGCTAAAGATTTGGAAAAGGGTTGACTCCTCCAATAAGAACAGCTTTACTTAACTATTTGTCTCAAAGGAGCTATACTCTACATTCCACTGCTGGTAGCAGCGCTGATGTTTTAAAATAATTTGCTGACAACGGAAAGGCACTAGAAATTATTTTTTTAAGCATGTTCCTAGTATATTAGCCAGAAATACTAGTGTTATATTTTGTCGGTTTTCTATCATAGCGTTTGTGGTATGACAATGTGAAATATTGGTAGTGTCAGTACACATCTGATATGTGGCAATACTTGTCCTTTATTGTTGCAGTCCAGGGATGCAGTCTGGGATGAGAACTACCAGTCCAAAACTTTATTTCAATAGGAGAGTGGTGATACTACCGCACAGGACAAAACAGGAAGGCCATGGGGCGAGAAGAGAAGGCATTTACTCTTCTTATTCAGATGAGGAAAAAGAATGGAAGAAAAGGTCCATCCACTCTTTTTATAAAGATTTATGTAACCTTGAATATGTCTGGCATCCTAACTTCCCCTGCTAGCTAGTATTATCTTACTGTAAATAAGTATTAGAATGACTGAGAAGGCTGGTTTAAGTTTTCCATTTTCTACTCAGACATGCAAACTGAGAATTAAAATAAAGGCTCTTGTAGAGGGAGATCCCATTTTATCTGAACATAAATTTTGAGTGGTACCAGATCAAACATTCCATTAATGACCACATCTGTTATTCTTACAAGTACTGTACATTAAAAGGAGGCATAATTTCTACGATCACCTATATCCAATTAAATCCAGTGAAAATAACATCATAATCACATACTCTTTTTCCTCTCAGGACTTTGGGCAATGTAAGATTATCACACATACAAGCCAGCTGCTGATGAAACCTCAACTGTATGGATTTAACTGTACAGTAAGTCCAGGTAAAATAATCACTGTTGTAAGCCAGTGCATACCTCAAACCAGCCCTAGTACCAAATGACAAATCTGTGCACTACTGGCATATAGTAACCGTAACAGATTCATTCATCTGCTTGCAATTCACATGTTAGATAATTCAAATGGAATGTTAAGAATGAGTAATAGAATTAAGGTTACCCTACTCTTCCTAAAGCAGACTTTATTAATGACAGATGATACCACCATTCTAGTCCACCAAAACATGATAATGAATATCAGAAAAGTAAACTTGGAAAGAATGCCTGTTTGGGGTGGTAGGATTCTAAGGTGGAGCTAAAAGACTTAAGATTATTCATTTTCACAGGTTTGGGTTTTTTTTTCACGTTACAGGACAAATCTGTATTTGTGGAGTGAGGGATAGGTACTTCACTTCCAAGGAAATGCTTGCATTTCAGTTTCTTGTTGTGAGTTCACATTAAAGGCACATGCACACTCCCAAGAGTATTAATATCCATTGCAATATTAGTAAACTCTGCTTCCACAGTTCCTCCTGATTTATTAGAGTGCAAAGATTGTCCTGTGAAAGCTGAAGTCTTAGAAGTCACTGAGCAACGTGAAAATACTGCTGCAAAGGCCCTGGAGAAATTTAACAGTGAGGGTAACCACACAAACTACTTCGACATGGACAAACTTTAAAAGATTTTAAAGATGGTAAGTGGCATTTTGTCCTAGAATTACTTATGAATGAAACTTTTTTGAGCAGCTCCAAAACCATGGGACCAGAACTCAAACCCTTCTAGGATCAGAACTATTGCTTGTCACCGCTCAGCATAAACATCTGCTTAAAATTGGAGGTCCTACTTCTGCAAAGACTTGTTATCAACTTTAATTTAGGCATGTGAAAGCAAAAGGATTTCTCATCTGCAGTGTGATGGCCTCCGAAGTGTCAGAGCCTTCTTTGTGGGCATATTTTTGTTTTGAATGCCTATTTACCAATCCTATCATAACATACAAGAGTTTATTTGCTACTGACCAGAGTTCAAGACATACAGTCATGTGTATTATCAGACTCATACATTGTGTTAACTGAAGTCAGACTCTCTGCTGCAGGGCAAAGCAGCACTCGGAGCTCTGAAGGGCAGGACATAAATTTGCGTCTGTGCCATACCTCTTGAAGAGCTACTGGCTCTGGTAAATAACTCCTCCGTCTTTGAGTGATGTTGACATGAAGACTTATTCTTTGGGTGATGTGAAGTATAACTCTCACATCACAATTTCTTGTTGGTAGATACTGGAAACTTTCACTTAAACAGCACAGGATTGTTCTGCCAACACACGCGTCAGTTCAGGACACCTCTGTAACGAGGTCCCACGGCCCCTACCATAATACATGTTGATCTTGGAAACTGCCTAAATTATAGCATGCCAACCCCACCTCCTTGCAGCTTTTAATACTGCTTGGAAACTTGACAGCGTTCTACACTGTAGTCCCATGCAGGATGGATCCCTACTCCCATTTAGCAAGTGGCTGTTTTCAGATTGCCTGGATTCATGGAGTTCTCCCTAAATGCTTTGTCTTCACACTTTGCCATCTTTAGCTACAGTGACAATTTAGATTGCATCACTGGATTTCAGACTGCATAACACTTAGAAACGATGAATTATGATTAAAAAAATATACCATAAAGTATGTGCATCCACTTCTAACCAATTTAGTTAAACTAGCGAAACTTGTGTGCACACACATGCTACGGATATCTTCAGTGCAGACTTGAAATAAACTACTGCTACAGTTGGAAATTAAAATAGAACACCCCTTTATGAATTTTAATAGGATCACAAAGGCCTTCTCCCATGTTCTTATGGAGTAATGCCACCTCTATGAATAATGCCACTGACAACAGAGAAAGCAACAATCTCAGTAATTGGCAGAATTTCATCCCAAATTAACATCAGCACTGTAGTACTATGCATTCCTATCACTGGAAAAGGGTGGTTGCCATCCAGTAGATCTCTAATTTCACAGGAGCACCAGTTCAATTTAGGGAGAAGACTCTAAGGACACTACTTCCTATAAACACAGGCTGTAAAAGTAACAGGTGTTGTAAGATACACATACTAGACAAAGAAATAAAGCAACCATCCCTGGAACTCAAAGGTTTGAGGCAAGTAAGGTATAAGTTATCTAATCTATTTTCCTTACTGAATACACATATATGTATGAATATTTTAACAGCACAGGCAATGGAAGCATGAGGTAGACAGCATTTTGACACAATATAAAGTATGGTTGCTTTTAAAATTACAGGACTTTAAATACACCTAGTTACCACTTCTTGTTTGACCTCCTGCTTTCAGACTGCCTCCTGTGAAGGTCACATTTTAGGATTCTCTATAAAAGAGACCAACTGTTCCAAAACCACACAACGAGCAGATCAGGCACTAGAATGCGATTTTCCAGATGACTGGCATGCTGTAAGTCAAGTCTTAGAACATGAACTGATACAACGGGTGTCACCAGGAAGATCTTCCCACATTATTTCCAAGTGTTTCCTATAAGCATGCACCCCAAACTCAAAATTAAAAATCCAGCATGTCCAAGTCCAGATCCTAATTTTACAGCTGCTCCTTTTCATTCTATAAGGAGCCAGTCTGAACTCTCAAATCTCAATGTAACTGGATTCCGGCATATTACAGACCTAGAGCTGAGCTTTTCAGTTTGGATCTGGCTTTCGCATTCAAATTGTGGCCATTCCCTAGTAAATCATTCATGCTATTTTCATTAAAAACTTTTACACTAACACGAGTCATAGATCTTGGAAAAAAAGACACGTATTATGTCATCCCAGTGAGCCCAGGGTTACTTTTCTTTCCTCTGCTGCAAGGGAACAGAGAGTGGAAGAATTCAGGCTTGCCTGCAGATTACTAATCAAAGTACTCTCCTCACCCCACCTTCCCATTACAACAACAGTCTACACCAAAGAAACAACTAGGCAAGATCATAATTTCAGAATAAATTATTCCCCAGAACTTAAATTGAAGGAATGAAATAAAAATATCAAAATAAAACATGTAGAACTTTTGTTTTATCTACATCCATTTTCTTCTCTGGCTCTTTATACTCCAGAAAACTGGAAAAGGTTGTGAGTGAACTGGTAGCGGAGCCAAAAGTTCACTAGAATGAAGCACAAGCCAGATAGTTAGAGGTTTTGAATTCTGTTCTCAATGCTGCCACCACTGGTGTGTGTGTAAAAGGCTATTAACATTTGTAATCATCGATCATAACAGGCTACTAAACATATATCAAGATAAAGCATCCACCACAGAGAGCACACACAGAACCCCTTACCCGAGTTCTGTGCTTTTTCACATGAGCAATTCCACACACAACGACTGGGCAGCAGGTGAAGGTCACAGCCAATAGGATGCTAAGGGAAGTAATGCTAAAAGATTACAACCAATTACTTTTCAAACGATAAATATGGAAGAAAGCTCTACCTTGAGCTTTGTCTGAAACAGCATAGCTACATGTTGTCTGTTTTTGAGGGCTTTGAGCAAAATTTCAGAATAGCCCAATCTGAACAAATGTTTGACAAGCAAAGACAGAAAAAAAAGGAATAAAAATCAGTCACCCACAGGGTACTTGTTTTGGAGACATCAGTAGCTGGACAATTTCTTACAGAGATCAAAAGAGAAGTAAGATGGAGAGTAGTAGCCCTCTAGATGCACATGGCAAAGTGGTCTTCACAGTCAAGAACACCCAAAAGTGGCATATATTTTAATCATTATTAATCACTGGCAAGTGTCACTGGTCAGAAAGCTCAGGATCTAGCCAAGTTATGTAAACATACTTAGGTATTGAAGGAACTAGCCTAACTTTTAAAATGTTGAACTTTCAGTAGCTTCTGTTAACACCATCATGAGAACCCAGATGTGCATTGTTTTTTTTTCTTCTCTTGCTTAGCATGTGGGATTCTGCAAGGCAAAAGTTATCAGTGATCCAGATGAACCTGATGGAACAGACACAAGCTGTGAAATCTGCCATCCCTGGGTACGCACTCACTTACTGAAATGTCTCTGGCCATATCCTCACGCAGGCTACAGCAGCCTCACTTAGTCCAGACTGACAGATGATTGGGACGGTGGTTTATGTCCCTTTGCTACTGCCTGGGTGTGATGCAGCATGGCAGGACAGACTTGATTTTGTCTGCTAGGTCAATCAGAGGATGCATTAGAATTGAGCTGTCCCTACTACTCCCTCCAAGGGTGCCTTCTCTCAGTCCAGTCGTGCTCCTTAGTTAAAGTGAGTAGAGATTGGCAAACAAGTTCAAAGGAATTTTAGAAAGCAAGAGGGGAGGGGAGTTGATCTTTATCATATTTGGTATTCCAGTTTATATTACAACAGCTATTCCAGTGTGGGTTTTGTTTGGATCCATCACAAATTTTATCAGTTGGTTATATCATTTCATTTTGTTATGATGTAGTGTTTCCAGATGATTTTCAGTAATTTTGCATTTTATCACCTACTCCTTCTATCTTGAAAAAAAAAAAATAGGGTGTGTTTTTTTTTTTTTCTTCTCTTTTACAGATCACTGGAACTGTAAATGCAAACCTACTAACTCCCACCTCTCTCTTTTTCTCACCACTTTCTTCTGTCCTATTAAAATCTCAATACTTCCTCCCCTGGTGTTTTTATAAACAGCAGCATGACTATGGGCAAAGATGCAGATATTCAACTCTGGGACAGCCACACAGACATCCTCATCATCATTTTGGTCACAGGCATTGTCACAGGCATGGATGTCCACCCTCTTCTCAATCCAGACTTGAGGACCCCAAGCACAACCATAGTTTCAACAAAGAACATCAAGACAGCCACAAAGGACCTGCTCCTGCTCCTGTTCCTCCTCCTCCCCCCCCCCCCCCCCCCCCCCCCACAGTGGACCATATCACCACCCTCACCCTCCACACCATTGTCCTCCACCTCCTCCCCATGGTGGACCACATCACCAACCTCCTCCTTCTCCCCATGGTGGACCACATCACCAACCTCCTCCTTCTCCCCATGGTGGACCACATCCTCCTCCCCAAGAGGAACCATATGATCCCCCTTCTGCTCCTCTTCCCCATGATGCACCACATCATCCTTCTTCCCAAGAGGAATTACTTCATGTCCCTTCTCCTCCCCATGATGAGCCACATAATCCTCCTCTTGGTCCCCATCATGGACCACACCATCCTCCCCCTCCTCATCGACCACATCACCACCATCCTCCTCCCCATCATGGACCACATCACCTTCCTCATCTCTAGCATCACTATTACAGACATCACTGCAACAAGACAAGCATATCAGGAAAGTACTTTCTATTCCAAATAACAGGAGCTGTCTATCACTTTCCGGTTCTAAATCAGCAGGATTCTCTCACACCTCCCACTGCAGACTTTCCTGAGCTATCCTAAAGCAACCCTCACTCCTCCAGCACTGGTGAAGGTATTCCCTTCACTGGCTCAAGCCTAAAGGAGATGCCAGAAGCTCCAGGTTTTCCAGATCACCCTACATAATAAAAGTCATGCCCAGGAAACTCCAAACTTGTTCTTCCAAAAATTTTGCCCTTATTTCCATGTAGCTCCATGGCAGAAAATTCTCTTACATGACCTCAGAGAAAGATGCTCCTGGCTTGAGAGTTGCAGAGCCAACAACAGTTGTATAATGAATGAAAACAGCACATGGAGAAGGGGAAAAAGCATACAGTTTCTAGGGAGGAGAAGCACTGAAAACAATGATTAAAAAAAGTATTCCAACCTGCCTCTTGATCCCAGCTATCTCAGACTCCACTGTAACTGAAAGGCTCAAAATTCTGAGTCCCTCATATAATGTGAATGGGTACAAATCTCCCCAGCAAACAATGCTCCTTTAGTTCTGACAAAAAGGAAAATTCCCCAATAGTGAAAACTACCATCTAAAATCTTTCATTTTCTCATCATTCATAATTATAACGTACTTCTCTGATGAAATCTGACCTAGAGGAAATTTGACCACCTTTCATTAAAAAAAAAATCCATGGCACTACATTCATGCTTTATAAAGATTCAAAGAAAATAAAAACATGTAAGCACAGTTGCCAGAGTTTTATCTTTTTTGTTACTATGAATGTTTAGCAGTGCAGTAAACAACCATAAGCATAAATTGACTGATGGTAGCTGGGTTACCACCATTATCTAGAAAAGGTCTGAGAACAGTTAATGACTTCTAGTGTAACACTGCAGGGTGGCCTGCACCAGTACTTCCATTGCTACAGTTGCTGGTGGTGAGATACCAGAAATACCGCATTCAAGGACAGCCCTTTTCAAATAGTTCACAATTGCTCTCAGGGGAGGAGAAAAGCAGATGCATGTAATAACTCTTTCATGTAAATGTTTTCTTTATCACTGAACGTTCCTCACTGGAACCTGAGTTAGGAGGAGCAGGAGGAAAGAATACTGGTGTCTCTTTGTACTCTAGCCCCCATCAAGGTAAAGTCCATTCAGACAGACCTGGGACCCCAATGAGATAGTTCAGAACAGTTATCTCATAAGCAAGAACAGGGGATTAATCTCAAAAAAAAAAAATTAATAATTTGGTCCTCAAAGTAGCTTTTTAATGGCATAAAGTAAAATATAGTGTGAGGGCTACATTAAAAAGAAACAAAATGGGGACAGCATTTTGTGTGAGTGAGTGAAGGCTGTCTAATTTTTAAAACTGCCTTATGTACAAACCACCTTATTTCTGGCCTAGTTTATCCACAAAGTCTCTAAAGTGCATTTTCTTTAACCAAAACTTGTAGCAGGACACAACTGGAGCACTGGAGCTGAGGTGATCCCAAGGCGTTCACTGATTCAAAGCAAAGCTATTTGGTGCTCAGCACTGGAGACAAGCACCAGATGTTCCCAGCCAGCTCTAATTCTGGCTCTGCCAGACACAAGCAACATTACTTAATCCCTTGTTCTTGGGTGTCACTTTCCCTATCTGTAATAACAAAACATTATGAAGACTGACTAATCCATGGTCCAAAGGCAGTCTCCACGTGGAGGCAAAGATGGACACTTCCAGCAGTAGCAGGAAGGACAAGGTTTATCAAGTGTTATTGAGGAGTTATGTGACATTCAATGATATGCATCTGTCCAAAGGCTTTTTTCAAACATGTTCTGACTTCTCAGAACTATTGCAGTCTGAACACTAAACAGATCTAAAAAAATTACAGGGTTGTTGTGCAGAACCAGAACTGCATTGCCACTGTGACCTTCTTGGGTGTTTTATTTAAGCCTTCTAAAATTTATTCTCAGTAGCAGTTTAGATGTTAAGAAAAGAAGCCAGAAAGCTACAAACATTCTTCTTTCTCTTTTCCTCAGGGGCCATCCTGCTTAGTCTCACCCTGTCCCCGGCTGCAGCCATTGAGCCTGTTATCTTGATGGCAGGTGGATAACCTTAGTGCCATTCGGGTGACCACACAAAGTTTATTTAGATAAACTCAGAAGTTTATTTGCAGTATAAACAGGGTATGATGAGAACTGACCAACCCCAGCAACCCACTCATTCTGTTTACTTAGCTATTGCTCCTGAAAAACAGAAGCAGTGACCAAAACCCTGTCAGGCATTCCTTTTCCATTTGGTTTTTAGAGAGCCTTCTAATTCAGGGGGCCTTTTTTGTCCAGTTATGAAGCCTTTCATTGTACTAGCACTCTGCTGTAGTTTTTTCTCTAGCAGAGCCACCCCTCTTCCATTTGAGTTTTTGGACTGTGATGACCCTGATGTCTTTAAAGTTGTCGACACAGCACTGAAGAAATACAATGGAGACAGAGCAAGTGGTAATCAATTTGCTCTATACATGGTGATGGAAGCCAAGAGAACTGTAAGTAGACTTAAAAAAAAAAAAAAAGATGTTGGAATTGTTTATGCACTCTGAATCAGATTATCTCCATCTCGTTCATAAGAGCAGGCATGACAGCAAAATGTCTTCCAAAAACGTTTTAAAAAAAAAAATTGAAGAAGTGACTTGCACAGTAAGATACTCGTTACCATGACAAGCAGGGATGTATATTATGTTCTTATCAATGGAACTATGTGTGCTGGTGAATTGCTCATTAACACAAGGACTAAAGAATAGAAAATTTCTATCGCTAACACAATTTGTCTTACTAGTCCACTTTGTTTTCTCCTTTCTCTGTCAGGAATTCTACCCCTTTCCATCATCAGTAAGGTTTTCAGATCAATGGCAAAAAACCACACTTACTAAAAAACCTGAATATAATCTTGACTTGGGAAAAGCTGGTATCACACATAAAGAATGACCTGATAAACATTTGGCAATACTCTGAATAAATTGTTTGTGAATATTATTTGATTGACACTTGTCCTGAGTTACAGATCTATCTAAAAGCACTGGGTGGTATTTTAGTCAAATAGGGTGACAGCTAAAATTACAGAAGAAAAAAAAAGAATGAAACATGATCCTTTGCCTGGAGTCCTTCTGTATAGCATTAATCTAACAAAAGAGTATTTACCTCCGAGAGGCATTCAAAGATGATATTACCATAATAATGACAAGCATTACTTTACTTGAAAACAACATTAGCATATTTTTTTTTATTATTGGATTGGATTTTCAGATGTAAAACAAGAAAGCCAGTGTCAGAGAGAATATTTTGCACTCCAGAAATCACAAGACACTTACCCAGATAGAAATTAATCTCAGAAAGGGGACATGAATTGCTAAATGCCTTACAGCAAACTACCCACATCTCCTGGCACCTACCCTCTGCTTCTCCTGTTTTCAAACTGGGGAGAGTTCAGCATGTAGTGACAAAGACTAAAACCTGGCAAACCCTTTATACAATTAATATTAAACAAATTAATAGTCCCACTGTCTTCACTGAACTACACACATCCTCAACAACAGCCAAATGCAAACACCTTTATATCAGATCTGTAACACCACCTTCCTTTTGCTGATGTTCCCAAAGGACAGATATTAGTTTCAGTGTTTTATCTTAAACAATGATCTGTTTTTAAGAATACATATTTATTGCAATTAGTATTCATCTTTCCTTCCCTAGATATCCATCTTTCCGTTTCTTAAAAGATCTGAGGTGGAAATCAATTATTACTTTTAATCATTGATCTGGCTACGATGCTAAGTAAAAAACAGTGAAAAAGAATCTGCAATAGAGATTTCCTCATATTCGATATTCTTTTCTAAAAAGAGTATAGATTTTACTCATCACTAGTCTCACAATGTTGAATGCATTAATTAAATAGCTGGTTATTACATATTCATGTACATTCATTATTGATAAGGTAATAAAACATAAAAGCTGACTGGCAAAAGACTGAGCCTGCCCCACTTAAAGGCATAGCTGTTCGTAATAATAATGATGAAATAAACTAATAACAAATAACATACAGAAACAGTGTCTTCTCTCACCTATTTCATTTACTCACTGAGTGATTTATTGCAGATTTAAAACAGTGTAACAGAGAACAGAATTTGGCTCTTAAGTCCACATCCCAGATAGTATAACCTGATGCAGCTCCATAAATGTCAATTTATACCTGCTGAAGATTAAGTCATTACTTTTTTAGAGACCCTTTCATCCTGTTTTACAACCTGCAACCATTACATCAGGTACCTCTACACCTCTTCATAGTTGTAGCAATACACAACAGGACTTGAGAGAACACAATACAATTCTGTGTCTACACCAGCGTAAATCCAGTATATTCCACCCACGTCAGCTCAGCTTCGCTTTCTTGGTACCAACTAAGGCAAGAACTATGATTTAATTCTCCCAGCAGTATCACTTGAGGATAACCAGCCTTAAAGTACAGCAACTGCCTGTGTTTGTATTTGAAAAGGCGCATCAGCAGAGCATTTTTAGTGGCTATAAAACACTAGTAACTTCTGGCTTTGTATCTCCTCGAAAGGATGAACCACAAACCTCACAGTGTGTTGTTACCTGTAGGCACAGGCTCACTACTCAGTTTATGGCAAGGAGAAAATGCCCCCTACTGATATACCAACATCAGAAACGCTTCCACTGGCCAGGCCAAACTTGGCTTAATACTTTGTATTTCATCTTATGGGATTCCTGAGGCTACCCTCATGAGCAGCTCAGCCTTTAATGCCTATAGGAAAACCACAGGCACTGCCAAAGGCGGTCTCCAGAGCGTATGCCCCCCTCGACCCTCTCCCCCGCGCGGGCAGGGCAGCTTACGTACCCTGTTACCATAGGGTAGAGGCAGTTTGGGCACTGCCAGGCTGCCTGAGGGCTGCTGGCTGCTGTTCTGGGCTGCCCGTAGAGTTGTACAGAAGGAAAGTAGACAGATCTGGGAGGAGGCCAAGAGCGAGAGTGAGGGAGTCAGACAGGAGCCCAGTCCAAGCTGGTAATTATGCTAACTAGCCAAGCAGCAACCCAAATGTGCTTATTGGGAGTACATTTGAATATAAGTATAAAACCTAACCACTTCTTTCTGGTTTTAAAGCCCTTGGTACTACAAGTTAAAATGAAGGTAGTTGAGCATACCATATCTGTTATATCAACATATTGTAATTGTAGGTAAGGGCTAATATAATTAGATAAGTTAATTATTGAACTACCGAGATTCAGGAGACCTTGCATGGAGACCAGCAGCTAATCTGAAACCATACTGTAAAATGTAAGGTAACCAACGGACAGTATTTACCTTTTGAATTTCTTATCTTTTCACCTGATTTATTACTATGCAAATGACAACATGCATATTGTTTTTATCCAGGCAGGTCCTGACACGCAATTCTATGTGAAATATCGAATACGAGAAACCATTTGTGCCACTGAGGAAAACAAACTCTGGCAAGACTGCGATTACAAAGTGCCTGCAGAGGCTGTAAGTATTTGTCCTCTTTAAAAGTTCTCTGTACAGAAACATCAGCATAACGACCAGGGCTGCAGTCGCATGGGGAAAAATACAGTAGAGAATTTAACTTTTTTAGCAGCGTTATTTTTGAGAGCTTATAGGACTGAAGTACAGTACACAAATGTTTACAACTCTGAAGTTAACCACTATAATAGTGAATTTACCATTATAATCCTGAATATGCACAGAAGGGAACATTTCAGTGCTTCAGTATGAAGGTTCACAATAAACTCAATATAAGATACATGCACTGTGAGAGTGTGAGGGCCGTAAAACTTTCTATTAATTATGTATAATGGAACTTGCATAACCAAATTGACTTCAGATCTGCACCAAAAATACCGAGATGGAAGCCACTACGGCAGAAGATTTCCCAGAGGGCTTTTAGCAGTGCAAAACGTGCCTGGCTCACGTTGCTTGAGAGTGCCCAGAGGAGGCACGACGGGGGCACACGTAGCGTGCGGGAGCACTGCACGTTTCCAGTGGAAGTCACCGTTATTTCACACAAAACACAATGCAAAGAAAGGGCCGAAGGTGACAATATCCTTTGAATCAATGTGAAATGCCATGGTTATTGCTGCATATCTTGTATTAATATAGAGGAAATTGGGTAAATACACAATTTTTTAGACTTCATTTATGAGGATGTGTTCATTCCCGTTATTCTGACTGTAAATTCCTTAGTTAATTAATAAGCATCAATCACGATACAAAGCAATCTTTCAAATTATCTGCACAGTTCATCCCCTACTCTCCTCACAATCAACAAAACCTTTCCTTTTCCAGTAACAAAACAGCAAATTAGACATTACTACAAACGTACATATGAACTTGTTCCCCAAACTCGATTTGCAACTGTCAACTTTGTTCAATAGCTAGAGGAATATAAAGCACTATTTTTCTTCAGCAAGTTTCAGACAAACATTGTCATATGTTTTTGCAGAAAATGGGAGAATGCACAGCTCAAGTTCACGTGAACGACGCTGAAAAAACAAGTAACGTTTCACAAGATTGCAAAATTGTTCCAGGTATGTAACTGTTTGGGGCAGCGTTCAACAAGTGTGTTGACAGATAAGAATGGGAAATATATAATACTGAGACTTTCAGGTAATTTTAGAGGTAGGAGCTCTTTATCATTCTACTCAGACATTTATAAATAATCTTCCATAAGCAACTACATGTTGAAGATGAAATTTCACTTCACTGTTATACACATATAGGCTAAGTCACTGAAGCACTGGCAGTTTCTATCTAGGGTAATGAAAACCAGCACGTGTGCATAGTAAGTTTCTTCAAACACAGGAATTACACCAAATTAAAATGAATGAATTTGCTTAAGACCAGAAGCATATCAGTAACTTTGAGACTAGATACAACTTGTCACACATTAATTTTCTGTCCTTAAAGTATAAAATTGTGCCAGAAATTATTAAAAACTTTATGACAAAACTGTACCTTAAGTTTCTCCAAACTAAAAATGACTAAATTATTTCCGTTAAAGTTTACCAAAACAAATATTTACCCCAACAAGAAAAAAAGAATTACAAAATAAAAGTCCAGCCGTGATGTAATTATGTGAGACTGCAGTATCTTTTAGACCTCAACAATAAACAGCGTTACGTTTCTTGCCTATAAGACATTCATATATGACTATCATGTTCGCAGTTGTTTCCTTTACTAGAAAGGGATCACATAGTTGCAAAGCTTTGCAACCGAGATCTCTATGTGCCTATGCCTAGCGTTCATGTAAGGCATATCCAAGCCAGTTTTAAAATATCCATCTAACTGGCAGCAGGGAGCTAAGTGCATATTAACTACAGAAATATTTACCGTGATTTCTGAGATGTCTGGCAGCTTATCTTTGTTTTTTGTCCTAGTTATCTTGTTTAAAGCTTAAATGGCTAAACCTGCAGCCAGAGTCCTTCTAGGAACTGCAGTACAGACAAACTCCATGTTCTGCTACTGGATAAACGCCGCTTGGTTTAGATGCATTTGTAGGGCAATGGTGACATCTAGTTGCCAGTAAAAGGTGTGTGAACCCCACGGAGAATGCATGGGAAATCTGCATTTGAATCCTTTTTTAGAAAGCTAAAAAAAGACATACATAAATTAAATTAATCACGTATTCAGCCTAAGAAACTCCTCTCTTGTTACCAAGCTATAGCAACTCTGAAAAAAGAATACACATCTGTTCAGCACTTATGAAGTGCTGAGGCCACAGCTGGTTTAGAACTGGGTGTACTGTTGTTTTATTATCTTTGTGATTACTCCTTGAAAACATGGTCACATTTTTCTGTAACATGTATATATTTGTCATTATTGACTCAGAGTAAGCGATGCTATAAATATCAAGGGCCAGACTTTGTTCAAGTACCCCTTGGAGAGCTAAGACTCAATAGTATTGCTTACACTGAGGTACTCCAAATGTACAGAGAAGCCAAATCAAATCCAAAGGACTCAAGCAGAAAGAGTGAAACAACAGACCCTACCTGGTGAGGGATTTCCCCACCATGTTAGGTACCATACTGTTCAGCCTTCTTCATGGAACTGTTTGATCCTGTTGACCCTGGACTGGTTTCCTGGCTGGTGCAAGCTGGCATAACTCCATTAAAGCTAGTGTATGCCAGCTGAGGATCAGGCACACAAATTTTACTTCAATTCCACAGAGACCACATATTGTCCCACTTTCATTCGCAAGTTCACTGAATCATGAAATTAATTTATGTACTGAACTATAAAATTAATTTATGAAAATCCAATCCATGATTACTAGAAAGGAAAGAGACTTAATAGGATTAGTAGCAGGAAACAGAAGTTTGAGCATCCCCATCAAGCTTGTCTATCCACAGCCAGTCCAGCTGGTTAAACGTGAAGGTAACACCAAGGGCTAACCGGCAGCCAAAGTGACTAGCAGGGGGAGTTCAAACACAGCAGTAGGATAGTTCGACTACAGTCCCTAAGGAGCCCAGAGTCAGACTGGTTCAGATGGGTGAGCCAAAACACTCCCCTCAAAGTCCCCATCCTGAAACATGGGGAGACCAGTAAGCAGCTGCACACAGTGGGTGAGCTTTGAAGAATATCTCCTTAGTTGTAGCCTCCACTGGTTCTTCCCTGACAGAATAAGGAATGACCCTTCCTTAGTGGTGTCAAAACTACATGCAAAGTTTTTCAGAGATTCAGTGACTCCTGAACTCACTCCTCTGAACAAAGTTTGCTGCTGAAACCATGCCTGGATCCAAATACCATGGATGGCCCCCACCACCACAAACCAAAGCATGTTTCTAAATACAATGAATGTCTTTGCAGGCCCTGAAACTGAAACGTGGGTTTGGCCGATCGCTCCAATTAAAGCTGGGAAATGTTCTTGCTTATTGAGCCTTTTCTCTCATTCCCAGATAGGAAAAATTAAAACCTGAGGCTGTTTTACATGAAGCCCTGTATTTTTTGGTTTGTTTCTTTTCCAGCTATGCCAAAGATAATGCTTACTGAGGCCACATGTCTTGGATGCTTCCATCCTATATCAAGTGACAGTTTAGAAGTGTCAGAAATTCTGAAACAAGCCATTCAAAAGTTCAACAGGCACAGTGCTGAACCCACCCTTTTCAAGCTTGTGGAAATAAAAGAAGCTAAAAGACAGGTTTGTGTATGATTTTTCTCTAAATTAAAAAAAAAAAAAAAATCCAAAACCAGGTACCTTGGTTGTTTTACATACACTTTTCTGATTTTAAAGTGGCTTATGTTTCATAATGAAAGCATATGAAATGCATATGGAGTGTAGACCACGTAAATAATTCTCTTAATTTAGAAGAAATCATAAACAGTTACCTACTGGATTTTCAGAGCTGTCAACTTTACAAACTGATAGTAAACATATTTTTTCTTTACCTGCAGTTGCATCTAACCAGTGTTTAGCACCAGTTTATTTGCATTCAGTGCTGACAGAGGCATCTTGTGTCATCTCAGATGCTCTCGGGTATTCCACTTGGCCTCTCCCTGAAGCCCCAGCAGGAGCAGATCTCTCCTAGGTTCTGTGCCAAAGCTGCCAGCCTGCACAGATGTCTCATACTCTACAGCCTCCCAAACAGCAGCAGGCATCTATGTTTTTGCAATGCAATAGGACCCATATGTCAGCAGCTGCTATATGCTATAGGACGGGTAAACCTCATGCAGGAAAAATGGGTGAAAAAAACCCAAAAAGCCAGCATGTCACTTGCTGAAAGATATCATAGAATCGTTAAGGCTGGAAAAGACCCTTAAGATCATCGAGTCCAACCGTTAACCTAACACTGCCAAGTCCACCACTAAACCATGTCCTCGAGCACCACGTCTACCTGTCTTTTAAATACCTCCAGGGATGGAGACTCAACCACTTCCCTGGGCAGCCTGCTCCAATGCCT